ATTTATTTAAATTTCGTGTAATAATTATTGTTCCCTTTTCTCTTTTTTCTTTCAACCATCTTTAAAAAAATTCTAGAACTTTTGGTCGCATGAATGTTATTGCAGAAAGTAACAGACGCTGACAATCACATGTTATTAAATTCCTCTCTCAATCTATTTTGTTTTAGTTTGACCTATACAGATATTCTTTTACATCACTTTGATTTATTTTATTAAGTAAATAACAAAATAATATATGATTTTTATGCATAAAAGTATGTATTTATATTTCTGAGTAAAATATTAATAAACTTTATGTAATATTGTAATTTGACTCCCGAGACATTACCGTGTCTCCTGATAGTAATAAACTTAATTTAGGATTGTACAACAAATAATGAAGGAAATTAAGATAATTATTATAATTATAAACACAATTGAAAGTTGATATATATTGGATTACATTGAAATTTATTGACTAACAAATTTATATGAGTTAAATTTATACAAGCTCGAGAGACTGATATTTTTGCTATTACTAAAAATACTTTAATAAATAATGACGGTTTTTTTATTGTTTATTATTTGCAAAAATAGTTGAATTTAAATTATCCGCATCAAACAAGTGGAGTTTATTTGGAAAACACAGTACACTTAGCCACAGTGAAATGGCACCTGATGTAGAACATAACTCATTTATTCAATTATCGATGTTTGCTAGAACTTTATAAAAATGAATTTTTCTCAACTAAATCTATGTATACTAAATCTATCTATACTAAATCTATCTATCATTTCTCAACTAAATCATCTTCAATGTGCTTTTTTTGAAAATTCTAAGTCTTTGTATAATTTGCAACTTTTATAAAATTAAGAGAAAAACACACATGACAAAATTTTACAATTTATTTTTTTCTAAAGATTTGCGTCATACCAACCAGCAGCAAATAATTATAAGCTTTCTTGCATTCGCTCATTCACTCTACCGATAAAGGAGCAATGCGTATTCAAGATTTCAAAATTCATTTATCTACTCAATTAGAGATAGACATGGATTTCCCTTGTCTAACATCATTCACTGTATATTTCATAGAATGTTTCTTACATTGGTCACGCAGAAAAATGTTCACAATACTTTAAATATTTTTGATGATGATCAGCTCTCCAGATAATACGATCATCAGCTTCACTTTGCGAGCAACTCTCTTCTGAGTTTCGGAAAGTCGATGTAACTGTGTGCACATATGGTTCAATAGTAATACATAAGATAGAAAATCGTAAATCGAAAATCTGTGAGATCATTAAAATACCGCACATAACAATTTTGCTTATTGATGCAAAACAGAAACAAAATTTACAAGAACAAATGCGAAAAATAGCAGAATTAATATAATTACATATCCCCGCCAATTATATCATCTCATCGATCTGAGCCAAATAACAAAATAAAATAACAAAAGCAGCCATCACTGGAATCAGGATCAGGATGAAATTAATTCTAATTGTGAACAAAATTGTGTGGAAAATACTGAAATACGTATATAACGTAGAAACCAGTTTGATAGTAAGTCGTATTACATAAAATTATAAACGTATTATTTCGTTAAATATTTTTGTGTCCTGATATATCATTCTCTCATGACTCCTATTTGTAATTTCTTGTAATTATTAAAAAAAAATTTATTTATATATCAATATTAACTTTCTGCATTTTTCTTCATCAAAAAGTATTCAATTCTTTAAGAATATCGAATTTTCATTCGATGAAATTTGCACAATATATATTGCAGCAGATATATGTGGATTTACCGAGAAATATACTGATGCAGATACTTATATATAATGTGTTCGTCACACAGACAAAATCATTACTCTTTCACACATGCTGAAAGAAACGGGTTACAGTATCATGCAAACAACTTTGGCTAATATTGGCTTGAAATTTGAGTAGTATCAAAATAATACGTTTTTGAATAATTTTTATGTATAAAGGATTCAGAATAATTAATAATTTTGTATATTACAAAATATAATTATTTAAAATCTAAAAGCATCCGCAAAAGCATAAAAATATTTTTATATGTATTGTGAATAATATTTATATTTTATTTGTAACATAGATTTAAATGCAAGATTCAAAGAAAGGAAAGGATAGCTTAATCTCTATTCTATATTCCAAGAATACATAAAAACTCTGCATGAAAAAAATTATTTTACTAAAATATTTAAAAATTTGGCCACATACAAATTTAAAAATAATTTTGTTGAACCAATGAAATTATTACGTAGGATGACTGGTAATGATCTGTAGGAAGCATATAATAATTCTATACAATATTATATACAATATTCTATACGATAATTCTACAATTTTTTATATTCTGGTAACTAATTAAATATTTTACATAATTATTCTGATAACACAACAAGATTATTTTCAGATCTGCTCACATTTTTAGATCTTTTTATGAAATTGTTTTTTCATATAAAACTTTCAACTTTATTAACATATTAATAAAAGGTCTTTTACAATTTAATATAAATATTAATATAAACTATACAAATCGTTTATAGCATCGTTTAAGCACTCTCAAAAATAATAAGACGCAAATAAATATATTTGTATGTACACATATACTTTATGAAGCAATGATTATTATTTTTCCATTTTAATTCCTCCTTTCTAAATCAATTCCTGATCACATAAACATTATTACAAAAAGTGACAATTAAGCTAAGAATTACATTGTATAATCAAATTTATCCTGTTTCATTTCAATTTGCATACACAAGTTCATTCACATCATTTGGATTTATTTAAGTAAGTAACATGATAATAGATTATTTTTATGCACATAAAAGACTGCATTAATATCTTTGACTAAAGCATTAAAAAAATTTTAATAAAATACTGTAATTGAACTGAATTTTCATTTCAATGAAATTTGTATAACGGTAAATAAGTGTGGATTTACCGAAAAATTTACTGACAATGATGCAGGTAAATATACATATTTATGATGTCCACCAGAAATGTTTGAAACAATCATTATCGATCTCAATTAAAAGAACTAGAAGGAAAAGATTTCGACGTCAAGAAAACGGCTATAGCTTAGTGGAATGACACTTACAAGCATAATTCCTGAAAAACATTTATCTGACGTGTTACATCATTTCCAAATACAGATAATGTAGGAAATGCGGAAATTAATTGATGATGTAATATTCATATAATTGATACTGACAAATAAAATAAGGAATATCTCATATATTATACGTTATAAGCAAAAATTAATTTGTATTTTTTATGATCCGACTCCGAATATAATGTTTAAAAAAAAAGAATTTAATCTTTATGCTGAAGACGGAAACCCTTAATTTAAAACTTATTAAAGACTTTTTTATAACAAATTTTAAAAGTTTAATATTTAGCATATTGATTAAAATTCACTCATATATATATCAATTTAATAGAAATGTTAAAGTAGTATCTATTTTTATTGTGACTCGATGTATACAGACAATTTAAGAAACGTCAAGAATAAATAGATTGATAAATATACGGATCAAATGTTGTTATTTTTCTCTTTTAACTGTCCTCTAGAAACTTTAAAGAAATACCTGATCGCTCGAATATTACAGAAAGTAATAGACGAGTGTCTAATGTCACGATAAGACATACTTAAATTTCTCTTTTAATATTCTCTAAGTTTTAACAGAATTTTCTTCACATTACTATTATTTGCCTTATCAAGTAAGTAACAAAGTAATAAATAATTTTATACGTATCAAAGCACATAATAATATCTTTAAATATCACTGAAATTATCCATAAATTGATATAAAATTGTAATAACTATAAATACTTAATTCAGAATTGCAGAACGAAAAATTATGAAAAAAAGAATGTGATTTTTTTGTTGCAATTACAAATACCAGGACAGAATTGGAAACGGATATTTAAATATTGAATTACGTGGAAATTTTGACTCTCCAGTTTTTAAATTTTTATAAATTTATAAAAACATATATATTTATATAAATTAGGGAGACAGATATTTTTACTGTTGCCAAAGGAATATTTCAGATAGTGAAAATTATTATTTGCAAAATGATTGAATTTAAATTATCTGTACCAAACAAGATAAGTTTATTTGGAGAACACACGTTGCCATTCCGTTATAGTGGTGTGGCAGCTGGTATAGAATTACGTACAACGATATCATTTACCGAATTATCAGACGTTAACAAGATCGTTATAATGTTCCCTCAAATAGATTTATATTTTGACAAACCTTTAACGGAATTTCTAGATATTTACAATACTTGCATATTGAATGAAGACAAAAGAGAGACATGGCACGAGCAAATTTCACAATATATCGCGGCATCCTTCAACTGCGTATATTATCAGAAAATAATTTTAGAGGCTTTCTTTTATTTACTGATTTGCATTGCTGAAAAGGAGAAAATATGTATCAAATCTTTCAAAATTTATTTGTCCACTCAATTAAAAATTGACACGGTCTTCCCGTGTCCATCGTCATTCGCAGTATGTTTTGCAGCGAGTTTCTTATATTGGTCACGTCTGCAGAAAGGAGTTGTGCAGAATAATTTTACTAATGATGATCTGAAGAAAATACAATGCACAGCTTCGCTTTGCACGAAAATTTCTTCGAAGTTTCAAGAAGTCGACACTATTGTGTGCACGTATGGTTCAACAATTACACATAGGAAAACATATATGGAAGGACGGGCAACAAACTGGGCTATTTTTAATATGCCGGTTATGACAGTTTTGCTTGTCGATTCATATCAGCAACAAAGTTTAGAAAGGCAATTACAAGAAATAACAATCAAATCAACTATAAATCCATATGATATTGAACGTAAGATTGCACGTCTTAACGACCAAACGATAATAGCTATGAAAATATTAGACGATATTAGTTTTATCAAAGGAAATTTCCAACTTAACGCTACAACAAGATTTGGAAGATTGATAGATCAACAACAAAGATTAAAAGTAAGTTATATATGTAAAAAAAAGACATACAAACGTGTGTGTGTGTGTGTGTGTGTGTGTGTGTGTGTGTGTGTGTGTGTGTGTGTGTGTGTGTGTGTGTGTGTGTATATATATATATATATATATATATATATATATACATCACTAAATATTTTTATTATATCGTTCATCTCAATATAACTTTTTATTTATGATTTATCGTAATTGTGAAAAGTCTGTTTTATTATTTTTTACAGACTGTCGGTATCGCAATACAAGAATTACTTGACTCATTAATTTCACACTCCCATAGGACTTTGCGTAATATTTCCTTAATAGCGCAAAAGCATAATATGTTTGCAAAATGTACTGACATCGGTGATAGTAGATACGCATACATACTGTGTGCTATGTACGTTTCAAAACAAATTATGGCTATATCATCAGATTTGGAAGTAGCAGGTTTTGGTGTTACGAAAACGACTTTTTCTAAAGTTGGTTTGAAAATTGAGACTGGCTTAGACTTTTAGTAGAAGACTAAGGATTATTATGAATAGAATAAGTTATTGTAACGATTATATACACAGAAAAAATAGTTTTATTAAAGTGTTTAATAATTTGGATCTGAAAATAATTTTTTTAAACTATCAAAATTGTTATGTAAAATGTTTAAACGTAATGACGATAATTGTAAAAATTTGTAATATTTTAGTACCAATTTAAATGTGTTACATAAGTATTTTAATTCAACAATATTATTTTCAAATCTGTATCTGCCCAAATTTTTAGATACTTTAGCAAAAGTGTTCCTTCTTTGTATAAATGACATAAAGAACTTAATTGTTATTTATGCTAACAAATTTGACGAAGTGTTTTTTTTACGTTTATTATAAACAGTATTTGTGTTTAACTTATATTTACATAATATAATTTCAAAAATATATAGAAAAACTAAAATTCAAGCTTTCTTAACAGATAAGTGAAGGATCTCTTACAATTTAATAAAAATATTAATATAATAATATGTACAAAGATTCATTTATAAAGACAAACATGGATTTCCCTCGTCCGGCATCATTCGCAGTATGTTTCGCAGGGTGTTTTCTACATTAATCATGAGTACAAAAGACTGTTCACAATTCTTATTATTTTTGATGAGAATCTCCAGATAATACGAAAATCTGCTTCACTTTGTAAGCGAATCTCTTCTGAGTTTCGGAAAGTCGATGAGACTGCGTGCACATACGGTTGAATAGTAATACATAAGATAGAAAATCGGAAACCGAAATTCCGTAGAGTTAAAATATATCGCAGATAACACTTTTGCGTGATTGATTCAAAACAGATACAAAATTTAGAAGAACAAACGCAACAAGAATTAATAATTATGTATCCCCGCTTTTTTTCTTATATTATCAAAATGATTTATTTAAAGTAACGACGATAGCATCACTGTAATCAAAAAATTTGATATTATTTTCAAAATTAATACACTAAATGTTGTCTCTCTGAAGAAATATTTAGAAAAGTTTAATATTACTTTGACAGTAAGTATTATTACATAAAATTGTAAATGTGTTATTTCGTTATAAATATTTTTATGTATATCTTCATATCATTTGTTTATGATTTCTTATTCGAAATTTCTCATAATTATTTGTCTTTAAGGTTTATTTATATTTCGTTTTCTGCAGAAAATTATTTCTATTCATCAAAAATTATTAATTTTAATAAGAGCATCACATCCTCATCTGAATGAAATTTGCTCAATAGCGAATAAATATGGATCACAACGGGAACTACACTAATATTGATGCAAATAGATATGCATACATATGGTGTCATCAAACAAACAATTAGCAAAAATTATTATTCTATCAGAAGAGTTGAAGGCAAAAAATTTCGATGTCATGCTAACGACTTTAGCTAATAGCGGCTTGAAATTTGAACAACA